TCATTAGCATATAGGCTTGCAGACTCACTTGACGAATCAAACATAAACTCTCAAATGGGGTCATTAAACACCTGAAATATTCTCCCTGCCTGCCCCCGTAATTCTTGCGCGGTAATTGTAAAGAACCATAAAAGTTTCATCACGAGGAAATGGCGCACATGCTCGATGCCATCAAGATATTGTCACAATGTTATGTAATCAATCGGAAAGATTCGTCTCGAAATGGCAAATTAGCCGACAATTGAAGCAGGAGGACGCGGTTGAGATGGCGAGTGATTGCCAATGGATCTTCTACATTTGTGGGTTTTTTTGCCAATGAGGTAGCAAAAAGTGAAATATGAATAATATTACATCATTACACATGTACCACGAAATGTATTATTTAGGATTACATAAGAAACGGAGGTGACTTGCATACTTTCTTCCTTTTCGCCGTGAATGTAATTTTTTTAAATTTAGTCTTCTATTGTAACTACTTTTTGAATTAGTTTGATGACATTACAAATATTTTTTAATTTATCACTTTGATTATTATTTTTTAGTTAAGACGATCTTTTCTTTTAAACTAGGCTATGCAGGATTCATTGAACATGCCCCCAAATAACTAAGGAAAATTGTACTTGTACTTTTGGGAATTAAACTCTGGGTGTAGTTTGACCAAACAATTTTCTTACAACGAAAATATGAATTAACTTTTTTTGTTACTCTCTTCCAGATACTGTGAAGTAATAATAATTTAAATGGACTCATTGTTTTTGTTTTTTTCGAGCGACAGGAAATCTTTTAAGAGCTTGGGGGGACATAGTACACAGAATAAACACTACATAAACTGTGTAAATTGCTGTTGTTAGTGATAAAGATATTATTGAGTAATATCAAGTAAAAGACTAACAGCAAAATAAAAATCGAAGCATTGCTCTAAATGTATGGCCTAGAGCTTTACATTCACTCGAGAATGATAGCATTTTCCTTTGACGTCCTTAAGAACGTAAAGTCGTCTTAATCGGAAAGATTGATTAATTTGCTTGTAATTAAATTAAGTCATTATGTGATAATATGCTACACTAATCGGGGGTGAGCAGACGGTATTTGTCAACGCGCTAATTTAAGAGACGGGAAACGGTTAAGTGTCAGAAATCCGTTTTGTGGTCATTCTAATGCTGCTTGAAATACAGACTAACATCAGGCAAACTCTATATATTGTGTATACCCGAGTCATTCAATTTCAGACAAAAATATTCGTATAGTATCTTTTGCTTTTTTGTTTTAACGACATTGTTTAGGAGCCCACTTGGAATAAACTATCAGTTTTCATGTTTTTTTTCTTTCATCCTAATAGACCTCCAATACATATTCCATTTTTTAAAATTTATTTATTTATTTATTTATTTATTTTTTATTTATTTATTTATTTATTTATTTATTTATTTATTTATTTATTTATTTATTTATTTATTTTTTTGGGGGGGGGGGGGGGGGGGGTCGTAATTGATGAATAAAAAAGAATAAAATAAAATGAGTTGTAATGCCTCACGTTTGTTTTGCTTTTCGTTTAACAATATATCTTGGTACTGCGCTATACGGGTGTTATTTCCTTTTCTGCCACAGATGAAGATGCAACCAATTCAGCAGAATTACGTTTGTGCTCTTTTTTTCTGTTCATCGTTTTAATGTCCCCCTTTAGTCTATTCTTTTTAGAGAAATTGAAATGAATTTACAGAAACTATTGCGCACGAAAGAGAATTGATGAGGGATTATTATGGTGAAAAGGGAATTGAAAAGAAGGTTAAGAGGAGATACAGTTGTATAAGAGAAATAAACAGAGTCAGAGAAAACGAGAACAATAACACAACTTCATCTACCAACCAACCATTTCGTGAAAGTACATGAACCTCTGCATAATATTGGAATAGAAGATTGTTGTGTCACTCGTTGGTAGAGTACCCGTAGTTTTTGATCCCGATGACAGGCTGGTATTATCTCCCTGTCTGCCCCATGAATGCTCTCAAATACTCCACAAAACGTCATCATCTATCTATTGGGCGGTCGCTAGCACTTCACAATAATAGAAAGCTTATGCTTACCCTTGATAGCTGGTGATCATTTTCAAGGCGTGCGCCCTTCACAATCATCTCGTATTTGTTGCAATATTTTATTTTTCATCATTCTATCATCTATATTTCGGGGGGTGCGGTGAATGAAAATAGTGATTCATGAACGCTACTATTGAATTAGAAAAAGAGGAATCTTGGTTTCGACATTATACGATATTATCAAAAATAGTCAGAAAAACATTACGTTGTATGTCTTCTTACCTCATAGTACATCATTACGCATATTTGACGCTTAACTTAAATCATTTAATGTAAATTACCTATCCATACTTAGTTACAAAAACAAGCAAACCAATCACCCAACAAGCAAAGATGCAATAAAATAATAACATCATATCATGAGTTATACCGTCCGTAGACGTTGCTATATTCCATTTATTATGTAACACACATTCCACACGCAGAATTGTGTATGTATCTGCTTGTAACTGTAAGCCTACGTCTTCATGAAAATTGTATGCTGTTTCAGTTATTCATATATCCTTTTTATTAGAAAACAATTATTGATTGATATTAGTTTGTGTTTGTTCAGTGTTTGGAATGAAATTGTTGTTCGCTATTTAATGAAAGCGAGAGAGGAAGATGTTTAAATATGGTGCTTCTATTTATAGTTGCGTTTTTGTGTAACACCATATAAATATTAAACAAATTAATACAAATCAAAAACATTAAACAAACAACAACAAAAATAAACAAACAAAACACACAAATATGTACATGAATGCTTTCAGTATGTTGTTTCATGTACTGGTCATCCGATATTTGAAGACTAACACAAACAAAAACTTCGAGAAAGAAAAATAAAACGTTTGAAGCTACAATGAAGTATTAGTCATCCGAAACGGAAATCGTTCCATTATGAACACGTTGTAGATGAGTTTCAGGGGAAAAAAGAATAAAGAAAAACAAAGACAAGTTGCTCACTGGCTTATGCATGTCACCGCGTTCTGCCCTGCGGCTACGGAACCCGAGGTCATGACTAGCCTCGGGCATACCCGGGAGCTTCGGCAGCCGGGCAGGGATGTTGCCCGATGACATACCGATTGCGTCAATTCATTACAAGAACATTCTCTCGATTCTTTATGAGTCATAAGTCGTTGTGATTGGGGTTTTCTCAAAAGACAATGAAGTTTGTAACTGTATCACAATGGAAATAAGTATTTCGTGTTTTATTGTTGAAATATTGAGCATGTGTGTCATCCTACGTTTGTGCTATAGAGGAATGAACGATTATCACTGTCTAAAGCATCTACAATGTATCAAAAGGCATATCTGTAAAACCCAAACTGTTTTTAAAATCCCGAAACAGAATTGCGAATGGTAGGAATTAACTCTCCCTATCAACCTAGCGCGAAATCGGTAAAGATTATCGCTGTGATAAATTTCATGAATAACGATAAGACTCATGAATCCCCCCCCCCGGCAAAATCATAGGACCAAATTTGGTGTAATGTAAAGGGTGTGACTCTGCCCAACAAACGTATATATTATTTTAAACATAAATTGTCAACAAAATGTTTTGTTTGTTGGTAAAACGATTAAGACTGTCGAAGGGAGAGAGATATATAGGTGTATTGCTACGCATATCTCTCCACCATGTCCCCATCAAGAAAGTTAAGGGGAATGCCATTTCACTTCAGCCTTCTACGTCATCAATAACACAAGAAATGGAATACGGTCACGCCAAAACGAATACATCATCTAGCCGAAGAGAAAGTATACAAGAACTCCCCCAGATCCAATTCTGTCCAGCGTAGTCAACTACGTTCTTTCAAACGCTCAAACTGTCAGTTGATGATGCGGGGTTACATCCAAATTTGACGTTGACAAATTTGTTGTCAACTTTTGGCGCAAGTGTTTTCGCGCGCAATGCAGTGATCAGACGACAGTTTCAATTCCGATATGAAAATGTGGAGCGTTTTGCACGCAGCATATTGCCAGGGATGCATCGCATAGACTTCGCAATTGGTCTTTGGCTTGGGGTTTGAGCAAGAGAAAACCTGGCCATGAATTATGAAATAAATATACGATTTGACGCAAGAATGTGATCCTAACAAACAACCAATTATAAGAAACAAAACTGAAATCGAATGTGCTTGCTTGTCAGTCGCAAATCCTGAAAAGTGTACATAGTTCAAGCCGTATAACTTTCCCGTTGACACTTTATTTAAAGTTGACAAGATGAAAGATGCTGGGTTTTGGCGTCGACAAGATGTTGATAGGTTGGGCTAAGTAAAATTTTAACCTTTGAAGTGACAATAGAATAACAAACCTCCACAATTTGTTGACGTTTGTTATTTATGATTGAGCTGTGAGTTACAACCCAACTTTGTTCATGAAGATGAAAGAATGATGCTATATAGTCTACTAAGTGGAGAATATACCATCCAAAATCTTTATTCTCTTGAAGAAAGCACAAAGTAGACATAAGTTAAAGACTCCGGTAATAGCATTCTATAGCCAATCGACTTATTGATTTATTTCAATACATAATTTTAGAATTGATCAAGAAGTCAACGACAAGATTTATGGGATTCTATCTCCATCAAAACGATTAACTTTACCCGTGTTAACTGCATTCAATTTAATATAGGCTAATAAAATGCAACATAACTAATTTTAATAAAGTAAATACTAGTATATATGAGTTTAATAGATTAGTATTTAGGAAAATAAGGAGCGTTATCGATAAAGTAAGTGATGATTTGTTTCAAAGGTGAATTAAAAAAAACTCTTATACAACGCATTAAACAAGTCAATCGACAGTTATTGATTTCAATGATTACTAATTCCGAGAATTCTACTATTAAATTCTATAAATACTTCTCGATTAATCTCCGAATCACCATGGATTTAATTTTTCATTTTTTAATCTTCTATTTTCAGACGGATGTTTCCTACCTTTCAAGTGAAGATCTCTGGGATGGACCCTATGGCCGAATACATCCTTATGATGGACTTTGTTCCGGTAGGTTCATGGTCTTCGAATTTATCTTGCCTGTTATGAATGAACGGGGCAATGGCGGATTCCATCTCTTATCTACAGTATAATCCAACTGCATGTCCCTAATGAGGGAATTCATGTAAACCAACAGTTCGCTACATATAGGAAAACTCTAAAATGATTATCGGTTGTACATGTTTTATTCCTTTTGATAATCTTTCAATAATAATTATAAACATATAGAATGTACATATAGAAAGTGGGATCGTAAGAATTGTGATGTAAAATATTGTGAGCGGTTACTTATTCATACACGAAAATAGACATAAGGTACTCAATTTCGAGTGAGTGAACCCTATTTCAATCTTCTACCCGCTTTCTCTTTCTCTCTCTCTCCCATCTCTCTCTCTCCCTCTCTTCTATCCCTCTTCTTACAATTTTATTCGTTTCTTCCTCCGTCTCTCCGGATTTTTTCTTTCTTTGCCTTCTCTTTTTACTCTCTCTCTCTCATTCTCTTCATGTCACTCCTCCATCTGTATTTCTTTCTCTCTTTCTCCTTTTCTTCTACTATTTTGACTATCTGTCTATCAACCAATCTCCCTATCTATATCTCTATCTTTATTTCTACTATTTGACTGTCTGTCTACCCGCTCTCTCTCTCTCTCTCTTTCTTTCCCATCTCTATCTCTCTCTCTCTCTTTCTCTCTCTCTCTCTCTCTTTCTCTCTCTCTCTTTCTCTCTCTTTCTCTCTCTCACCTATACAGGTTGACGACAAGAGATACCGTTATGCTTTCCACAGCTCAAGTTGGCTAGTAGCTGGTAAAGCCGACCCGGAGATGCCGGGTAGGATACACGTTCACCCGGACTCCCCAGCCCGTGGTGCGATGTGGATGAAGCAAATTGTATCGTTTGACAAACTCAAGCTGACGAATAATCTTCTCGATGATAATGGGCATGTAAGTTGCTATCATTATTATTTCTTTACTGCAACCAAAACCTTTTGAGATTTTATTTCAAATACAAATACAAACAGATAGATAACAATGGGAGAAATAGATATGTGATTAACAATGTGCCACAATCAAATTATTACATATTACAATGAAAGAACGAATTAATTCATTTCCCGACGAAACTACTAATTAGAAAAAGAGATCCAATTCACATTCTATTTATTCAATTTTCTAATATAATTATTAAAAGCAACCCCAAAACCCAATCAATTTATAATATCAAGTAAATGAAGCAGCACATAACAATTATTATCATAATGATATCTCCCTGATAAAATATTTTGATTGACATAACACACTGATTGAATTCACTTTTCAATATTGATATGTTTCATACTTTCAAAGTTGATCAATATGGATTTCAGTTGTATTTGTTGTATTTGTATTTGTATCCATGATCGATATTCACATCTGGGATGGAGTTCGCTCTGCAAAATGAATATTAAATTATATTTTAAACCAACCGGGCGAAGGAGTGATAGCATTTAAAAATTGTTTTGGTCATTCATAATTTTCTGGACCTCGCACTATAACAGTTGCATCCAGCTGTGAAAGTGATTATGGATCTACCATTTTGAAAGACTGCGTCTCCACGGCTTTTTCTAACTTTGGTTAAACACTTCAGGTATTAGAGTGTGAAAAGTTTGATGTTTTCTTTTTTTGTTTGTGACTTTAGATTATCTTAAATTCAATGCATCGCTATCAACCTCGGTTCCACGTTGTTCATGTAAGCGGACGAAAGGACTTTGAGAACGCACCGGAAAGAGATTTCAAATGTTTCATCTTTCCAGAGACACAATTCACTGCAGTCACAGCATATCAGAACCACAGAGTAAGTTAATACCTGGGGTATTTTTGTTTGTTTGTTTGTTTTGTGTGCGTTTGTTTGTTACATGTTTCATCTTTACAGAGACACAATTCACTGCAGTCACAGCATATCAGAACCACAGAGTAAGTTAATTATACCTGAGTTATTTTTGTTTGTGTGTTTGTTCAAAGTTGTTTTGTGTGCGTTTGTTTGTTACATGTTTCATCTTTTCAGAGACACACTTCATCGCAGTTACTGCATAATTATCAGAACCACAGAACAAGTTCATCATATTTTATGTATGTTTTGGTTTTAATGAGCTAATACGAAGCATGACCATATTAAACCATACCTGTTAAATTTGCAACAGCCAATAGACATATTGGAATTTATCGAAAGGAATCGGTGAAGAAGAAGGGCACTGGTGTAAAATGTTCTGTTATTTATTTCTATCTGCATATTTTAAACCACATATGGCTGTAGTGCCTCTAAAAAGTGGTGTTGTTGCGTAATTTTTTGTATTTGGAAAAGAGCAAAATGCAACTTTAAACCATGTGCAATATTTACATCTATGTTTTTTAAAGCAAGTTTGTATCAATTCCTTGTCACACTATCACAGGTGTATTCTTGAGCGCATATAATTCTCAGCTATTAGAATGGGGACTGAGTTTTAGCTTTCAAGTGTATCACTCATATAATTTAAAACGAATTTATCTTGTCCTCAAACAGTTTGCATGTAGGTCTATACATTTGGTATTCACTACTCATACTTGTATGCATGCAAGCATGTTTATAGATGGAATGAGTCGTAGTAGGGGTATATATGCATTAATGTAAAGGGCAATTCAACCTTTGTATAGTTCATTTGAATGGAAGCTGGAAAATCATAGAAACAGATTGGCGAAAGTTTGAAATAAATCGAAAAAATAATAATACAGTTATGAATGTTGAAATATAAGATCACTACAGCTTAGCGAATATCAAATTGGCAAGTTTGTCAGTGGTTTGTTACGTAGTGAGTAGTGATGAATAACTCTTTCGTTTGTCAAGTACACAAATATCGCTAATATATGTTTTTCTCCTTGGGGCACTAGTTAAGATATATTATGGATAATTTATTATTACAGATTCTCCAAAAAGAAAAGACAATCCCGAGTCCAAATATTTGAAGAAGAATGATAAAAAGTCATTATGTGTGTCCTGAACATGTCGGGGGTTGTCCGCCACTACATCACAGATTACCGATTCAGCCAATTTGAAGAGCTAATACCTATAGTGATTACAACTTTTAAAAATTCATCACTTTCTATATTTTGTCCGATTTAATTCAAACTATCACCTGCAGTCTACTTCTCTGATTTTCTGCTTTCTTCTAAGAGTAGTTTGCTATCAAGGTTGGATTGCTCTTTAACATTCAGCGGTGTGTTGTTCGTTTGAACTTGCATCTGCAACTCGGCTTTGACCTATAACCTCGAGAGTGCAAAGGGAATATACAGCTAGGATCACAAAAGCAAATACTGGGCAAGAATCAGAACTATAAGAAAAAAGCCACAGCCTAAAGCTATCGCTGGCTATATGCGACCATATTGGTTTATTACATTCTGATAGTAAGGAGATAGCTATGTGAGATATTTCGACGAAAACAGTTGAAGAGGTCTTAAATTTACACTGAGTCTTGGGCATGGATGTGTGTTATTATTCTGATCCCATCCGGGTGTTATAAACTCTTCTACCCAACATGAAGGAATAATTTTAGATGTGCGTATTGCTCATGTAACAAATGAAACACCAACAACATATTATTGGTCACAAATCTAATACGGGGTAAGTTTTAGTATAGTATCGAAAGGAAGGAGTCGAAAGGTTATCACATTATTGTGTACATCATTCATGTTAGTCTTTACCAGAATAACAATTATGAAATTGTGCCTATGATTACAATGACCGCTTACCTGTACTTGTGAATACTTTTTTGTTTCTGTTTCGTTGTTGTGTTTTTTCAAACAATATTAAAGTGTAGTATATAAAAGATGAAGGCGGTTACAATAGCATCTTAAGTCGCCCATGAAATTGCTTACTTATGTCGCCAAATTTTAAAATCAGAAAGGGATCTTTGCCCTATCACATGGGAGTTTGCAAACTGGTACCAAGTTAGTCCACCCGGCTCCCTTTATTCTGTTCTCAGTCACCGATGAAATTCAAACACTATTCTTCCTTAATCCTACCCTGAATTAGACCTGTCTGATCTTTATCTACAGTGAAGGAAAGGGTTTTGGTAAGAAGAGCTCGATCCCCCTTCATGACTCCCCCTATCAAATCACAAAACAACCTCTTCGTCTTCCCACCACGGGGAATAAAATGATCTCAAACGGTCCAATTTTCCGCCGACCCAACCCCGGCTTGGGCCAACCAGTGGCGTATCCAGAACTTTGCGTTAGCAAAGGAAAAATGTCTGAGCTTACGGTGGTATATTTATTTAGTTCAGCAATTGAACAAGTTTTCGAGGGCCCCGATTTGCTTTAGGGGGAAGATATTACTCTATATATATATATATATTTAAAAAAAAAAAGGGGAATTAAACATTGGCATTCATGAATTGAAGCTTTAAAACCGAACACAAAAGGCGGTTTAGATTGGTTGGATGTCAAGTCGGGATTGATGTTTTGAGTGATGATAGTCGAAAATATATCAGGAGCAGTGCCATCGATGAGGAGAGCTAGGGCAACCCGGTTTGAGTGGCCACAATAGGGGGATAACTGCTTTGTTGGCAGGGCCTAAAATAAAAGAATATACGCTATGTTGTGACACTGGAAACAAGTTAGGCAAACTCTGTGTGTAGTTGGCTCTGATCAGGATTCAGGAGGGGTACATCGCACACCTTGCCCTTCCTTCTGATATGCTGACGGGGCCAGCCCCCTTTGTTTCTTCCAAGTGCCATCAGTCAACACAACCAGCCTATTGGTTTAAATATCAGATAATGTTCTGCTGTTTCCCATGCGTCCGGGAGATGAGATAGATATTGTATCACATTTCGCGCCAAAAATTACACACGGCGCCTGTCTCTCTGTCTCTCCCATAGACCTAGTCCTAAACCAATGCCTCTGGCTCTAAGATGAGTCTCTATATCTGTTATGATTTTGTTCCTTGGGGTCCGGGGAGATCTTATTAACCTAAAAAATGAAACCGCAATCTGTTGTTCCCAAGTAAAATGTGTTATCTTCCACTTTAAAGTGATAATGTACTTCAAAATGGTGACGCAGTTTTCATAACGCTGCGGTTTTGGATAGTGAAATTAGAGGTGTAATTGAATGATGATAAATTACAGGTGTAAAATAGGCTTATATCACAAAACCATAAAAACCAAATTCATTGACATTCTAAATATTTGCAAGGTAATGTCAAATTATAACTTACAATCCAGCAAACAATGAATACTGGTTCTGATGTATTCGGAAGCCTATGTCGCAACAAGCAAGCCAAATAATGCTATAATTTCACTACTAACTGACTCTTAATAGGTAATAATATGTGTTGGAGGGGACAATCACCCCAGCCCCCTTATCGCCACCCTTGAGTACAAGACAAGTATATTATGCAAAGCCTGAAACTTACCGCGTGCATGAGCTCCATCACGGCTGCGTCGTGACTGGGTAATTCAGGGTCACGTGACAAACAGGATCTGTTACGTCTGAATAACGATGCTAATCGTTTTAATTGCCACATCACGATTAATTAGTTTGTCTTGTAATGCAAATTCGCCCCGCGGGCACTGACCTTCGACGAGGGGCAGGGGGGGGGGGGTGGATTTTGTAATGTTAGGACCATTTAAAGAGTAAGGACAAAAAAATTATGATTCGAAATTCAAATGCTCATGCTGGCACCCCTTCCCCTCTCTCACTCCTTCTATATCTCTATTTTTTCTCTGCCTTTCTTTCTCCCAGTATATTTCCCCCTCTATCGTCTCCTTTTACATTAAACTGAGTCTGCATACATAACTTGTGTGCGCGTGAGCGTGTGTGTGAGCGTCCCCTAATACCGTCAATATTAGGAATTAATTACGACGACAAAAGGATATCAAAGATGTATTTCAATAGCCTGTCAAAATTTCCTTGAAATATGCCCTGTGTAATTATGGTGTTATTTTTCTCTTCATCACAGATAACACAGCTGAAGATTGCCAGCAATCCCTTTGCGAAAGGCTTCAGAGAGTGCGATCCTGATGATTGGTGAGTTCTAGATCTAGGGCCCGTTTCATAAAACTTGATATCAATAACAAGTTACAAGCTACTGTTATAAGCTACTGAAATCATGGCATGTGATTGGCTGAGAGCAAATTTTTCATAGAAATTTAGCATTTGTTATAGATAAAAGGTCACTGATGGACATCACTTTGAACTCTATTACATGCACCTTACCTATACAAAATGGAGGTGGGCTCGTATGATACTCTCCCTATTATATGTGAAGTATTGCAATTTCTGGACGCAAGAGTCTCTATTATTTCTTCATGACTATAACAGTTTCATAAGAACACACACAGATATATCACATCGCTCTTTGTATCTTGATCATAATTATCATGGAGATTTACATTAGACCTTTTTTCTCTCTTCTACGTTTGTTTAAAGCAGATTTATTACAATTCCATAATCATAATGATTACAAATACAAATTACTACATGTTTTAGAGGTTTTTCATATAATTTTATGATATCTGACCTCACATTTCACACATTAGAATTATTGAAAACATTAAGTAGAAACATAACAATTTATACTTGGTTACAGATTACGTTTCTGGAAAATTATTTTTCCAATGACTTCTTTTTATTGAGCGCCATGTTTCCTACCCCATGCAACCTTATACGTTAAATCCGAACATTTATATTTTACCTGTGCTTTTATAATTTTCAGAATTGTTTTTGTATTAGTTCCTTTATTATCAACTGGCTGTTGTTTTGGTTTGATTATTTGCAGTTATGGCCCGTGCCGAGATCTGGGGGTGGCTACCTCCAACTACAAGAACAGTTGCCCCCGGTAAATTATTTCCTATTATTTTTTTTTCATCCATTATGATTTTTACCTGATTTATACCACCGAATAATACAACCTGTTTCACAAGTCACATATTGCTTTGCGTTTATGATACATCTATCCTTCGAAATTCATAAATGACACTTTTAAAGTCAGCCTACTGTACATTACTTAATATATTCGCATTTGATGTATTTTTAGTTCAATAATTTTCTAAAGTAGTTATTGCAATGACTCAATTTCTCTTCAAATTGAATAGAATATATTTGTATATCTATTTCTTCCAGCGTTATTAGTTTCATGCTTGCCTGTTGTGTTAATATTAGTTTATTTTACATCACGCTCATTTTTCTGCATGTTTGGTAGTTGAAGATGTGATTAAACGTCTAGAGACCCTTTCAACATTTTGAGCTTTAGATCATAGCAAAAAGATCCATATTCATTGTTCATAATTAATCAGTAATTCGGTTTTCCTCACAGTTTATTCGCTTATTTGTAAATCGAAATTCGCTTATAAGAGAATACTAACTCGCAACGAAACATGAAACATGAAACATGAATTCGCCATTTCTTTAACTTTCCCCAAGCCACCATACTAAGAGACTGGTAACAGATCATGTTTCACGTATGACACCCACGGGATGGCACTGTGATGTTGGTATAAGTAATTAGCACCTCTCTGTTGCACCATCCAGTAGTGACACGTGATTCATCATAGTGTCAGTGTTGCACTCGCTGGTGTGAAATCATACATCAACTTTCATGGATTCGGCATCACTTTTTTTTTAACGAATAAAGATATATCTCATTGATTTTCCAGATATATTTAGAGGTGAAAGAGTTTGGGAAAACCCCTTTTAATTGTGCCATTCGATTATAGCAGACAGATTTACAAAAACATCGGGGATTGATAAAAGTAAGGGAAAAAAAAGGAAAGAAAGATTAATTTTAGATTTATTTTCAGAATTGGATCTGTCCATAGATTCCCCGATAGTAAGAAAATGTCAGTCATTAATTGAATTTAAGTGAAATTTGCTTCCTCTGTGTATTAAAAGGTAACATAGTTTCTTCTGTTGAATACACAGTCGTAATAAAAAATAGTTGTTCATTACAACATATTTTTTATCTTTACTATTTTGTAAGCTTCTTTGTTTAATGTTTTCTTATCATATTTCTTTTATCTTCTTCTCTTATGTAATTTTTTTAAAAATCGTTCTATCATTTTCTCTTTCTATCTTAAGTTTTCTCATGTTATTCTTTGTTTATCTATCTGTCATTTTCTCTTAATGTCTTTTGTTATTCTTTTAAATTGTAATCTCTTTCTCCCTTTCATTACTTTTCCTCCAAAACACACTCCCTTGAAGATCGCCTCCTGGCTCAGTTTGATATCACACTGCACGTTAGTTGGGGGCGATCTAGGAAGCGAACCGGTCCAGAAGACCACATCGCGAAGTGGTCTTATGGGCAAAGTGGTCTTCTGGATCGGTTGTGCTTTCACACTCACAGTGAGACCAATCAAACGTAGATCGGTCCAGGAAGTGAGTGAGAAAGTGGTCTAAAACGCAACCCCAAATCAACCCAAGCATCCAATCAATCAGATCGTAAATTTAGAATTTGTATTTGTTTTTTGAACCACATTTGAAATGACAATCCTTTAAGCAAGAAGCCCCTGAATTTTTAACTGAAACCATCTTTTGAAGCCTGGTACATGAATAATTGGACGGTTCCACCACTGTCTACTAGTATCATTAATATGAATGTTGCCTTTTGTTTCTTTTCTTGCAGCATCATCGAGATCCTGCCTCATGGCAACGGTCCACGAGCCCGTAACCACCACCGTCCCAGCTCGCTACAAATCGTGGGTATCACAAGAAGTCGCCCAGTACAACAAAGAGCGCAACATCCGAACGACATAAGTAAGTTTTCTTCTCCTCGATCGCTTTTTTCCGTTTTTCTTTTCCTAGTTTCCCCGTTTTCCAAGTGTCACTTCAGTTCCATCTTTGTCACACACACACACACACACAAAAAAAAAAATGTTAATCATGTTTCATGTATCTTTTCTTTTTCACTTTATGCTAAGGATAGACTAAGTAGGCGCTGTCTTATGAATACGAATACGTATTTGCTTTGATTTGATTTTTCCCCCACAAATTTGATTCGTTCCGATTTACTAGGAGATTATTTATGTAATTCAAAATGATCAAACTGCATTTTTTAAACCTATTACTAGTAAAGAAATTATAGATATTGTAGACAAACTTAAGCCTAATTCTAGTACAAGTTATAATGAAATAGATATTAAAGTAGTAAAACCGATTATACATAAGATAAGTGCACATCTCTTTGAAAACTTAATATAGTACTCGTGTAATAGGCTTGACAAAATAACCGTTTTGAGTCTTTAACAATTTAATGTAGTTTTATTGGTATGGATTTAGTTGTTGCCAATATTATTGATTACATAATCTAACATCGCTACTTCTGTTAGTTTGCTTGATTTCATTTATCGGATACATGAAAAAAAATTGCATCAAATAAAGAAAATGTATCTCACTCGAGTATATCTGTCATTCATGCTGTGTTCTGGTCTCTCAAACTGATTGTGTTTTGCCATAATACAATAAATTTTATGTGTTTGTTATTTAAGAATAAATTGCAAGTTCAAGTCCAGTTCAAGTTCATAAGTGATATCTAGTGATTTATGATACTGAACTCTGTTTCATCCTCTTTTGTAACTGTCTAGCAGACCCAGAGAAACAGCAACAAATCACACCGTCCGTGGGTAATGCCAACACCCCACCCATCGCTTCCACCGACAACGTCGCCCCATCCCTGGCCAACACCGGGGCCCTCATCAACCCCAACACGACCGGTTTTCCCGACCTCGCAGCGCCTCCGTGCACGATGACCAACGGCACGATCACGGGCGATAGCACCTACTCCAGCTACCCGACCACGGACAGTCAGTACAACTACGGTAGTTGTTATTTCCGCCCCAACACGAGACCGACACCGTACGCGCGCGATATGACAACGTACATGAGGGACTCTCGTTACTGCGCGAACGGCTTGACGTCGTACATGGGTCGAACGAACGGCCAGTTCCCTTACGATCCGTCCACGATGACCATGATGGGCGGCATCGACCCTAGGAGAAATTACACACAGCCTATGATGTAGCGACGCCATCTTGAAAAAACGTCGCATGTTGAACTGTATCCGTGGTCGCCATTTTGAGCGTCATGAGGGCCGCCATTTTGGTTCCCGTGTTTCAATGTCAGAAGCCAACATTTGAAGCCGCCAAAGCCAACGAAGCGGCTTCGTTGCATGTAGACCCTGAAATCAAACCTTGGACGCCATTTTGGAAAGGTGCTATTTTGAAAGGGTGGCACTGTAGATGCTTGTCCAAATGGAGAACTGTACGGGCACTGTCTTCGTAGAGTTTATGATTTCGGAGATCTAAGAAAAGGAAGCTGTTGTCAAGTTTTCATGTATATATCGCTTGCAGAGGGAATTGTTTTTTTTATAGTGCTTTCATTGTGTACAGTTCCTGTTGGACCAGACCACCTGACTGTTTCTTATTTTGATATGATGACGTATGTACAGAAGATGACGTCATATCAAATTGCTAGTACTGATTACGTGACGCCAAAATGCCATCCAGAGTTCATGTTTTCCCTCTTTTGGGACGAGACATAAAATGTCGCCGCAAGTGAAACGAAAAACAGTAATGACTATACGTGGGAATAACTTGATTGGACAACATGAGTTATTTTTGGTGAAACTGCTAAGATGTAAAGAATTTTATACCAAGTATTGTGAAGAATTACGTTCTTGGCGAAGTGATTTCTGTAAATATAGAGTTTAATAATGATAATAGGGAGGATGAAACAGAACGGCTCGGCGGACCATGGAGATGGGAATGAGATGAAACGATGATGACAGATAATGGATGGAAAATGAGTGGCGATATTAACGACTTATGGCCGGGAGTTGGGGAGAGGTGCAAGATTTACGGACTGAATCAATGCTCATGAATGGCTCCATCTGGAAACAATTATTTAGCACGAATGAAGACAATCAGAAAGAAAGTTAGATTGGTAAATACTAATTAGTCAAAAGAGGATAAAAAAGGAAAAGAACAGGAAAAATGCCAAGTGTATTTCCTTAATTGTTGTGATAAAAAAGCGTATTGCTCTGTAACGTGGAATAGGGATGGTTATGACATCAGTAATTGAATATTCATTATTGTGTATGCCCTTTATAAAAGACAAATCTATGCATTGTTATGATTATCACATTGCCCCAGAAGACATCGTGTTAGTACAAGCCTCCTCCTGTTTTGATGATGTATTTCATGTGTGGTTAAATTTGTGAGCGTAATTGATTTTCTCAAAAGTGTCATTTTCCTTTGTAGTCCTTGGTTTCTTTGCGAGTTTTTCGTTTTTAGATTTGGATCTCACTGTCAAATTGGTATTAATTTCTTATTTAAAAGACCGTAACTGTATTCAACTTCGTGCTTCGCATCGATTTAAGAGCAATTATAGAACACAGTGATTTTTTTAATTAAAAAACAAAATCATCTGATGATCAACTCGAAGGTTAATCACTACTTTCATGTTTCAGCCATTCAAAAGATTATTAAGAACAATTAAAAGCGAGTGCATGAATAGAAAACTGATTACATGATTATGAATACAAACAAGTGTGAACATTTATGGCCATCGCTGCCTCAGGTATATCATAGAAGGATAAAAGTTATACTAATTATTACAGTCTATCGCAGTAATAATCGATATTCTACAACAATAATGTACTGCTATAACAGTGTCCACCGACGCAGTTGCAATCGCATGAGAAATGCAAGAGGTGCGATAAAAGGTGTAGTGCAACTGAAAAAAAATGTTTAGGAAAATTGAAAGAGGTAATGAATAAAAAAGGATTTCGTACAAATTATGAGATCATTAGTAAGATATCTTCAGTCGCCAAAAGTTGAATTGTTATGTTGATATGTGATGACGACGATTATTCACAGCATTAAATGGCGCCATTATTATTGCGGAGCTTTTAAAGGCGAAGGCATATTAATGTTTAATTTTTATATCGTAAAGTTTTCTTTAATATTCCCAATTTATGTGTTCTCTTACATTTACCACCTTTGTCAGCATTTCAATAGGAATACATGTTCATGTTTTGTTTCCATCGAATTGTGGAGTTGATAATGACCGCATGGTCACCATCTACAAAATCTAGAAAGTCAATGTGGGCTGTTCAAATATGGTCACATTTAAAAAAATGTTTTAACGGATTATTTTAGTTAAAAATATCTTACATGCATTTTAATAAGCAAGTAATCTCCTGTATTTGGTTACCTTGATATCACTCAATGTTGGAAAATAGATAAAAACATCCTCAAACATCTTAAACCGTCGACAAATCAATTTTCTGGATCTTATTTCTGCTCTTTACTTAACGCCAACTTCATCGGTTCTAAAATGTAACAAATTTACCATTCTAATATATAAAACAAAGGTTGACTATCCTTACATTGAATTTCAATAACATTGCAAAAACAGATTTGAGATCGTCCAAGTTTATGTCGATCTTATAGCAATGAGCATTCACAAATTAATGACCTTAGAGGGCATTGCGAAGAAGAAACGCGAGATTGTAAAGGTATAGATAGAAAGTGGAGAGAGAAAGGAAAAGAAGAAGATGTCCAATTAAAGAGAGGGAGAGACATACAGACAGAGAGCGAATTGATCAATTTGAATGTAAGATACTATTAGAATGGATATACAAACCGTTACGGTTATAGGATGTGGACGAAGGACATGGATTTATGAAGGAGAAATATGATATGATCTTAATATTTGCTACTTATGGATCTTAAAAGATCTCTAATAAAATCCATTTAGAAAATAACATTGAACGTGTTTATGTGACTTTTTTTTTTACATTAAATTGATGTACATGTACTTTGGTGTGTTTGAAATGTGTGTGTATTCATTTCGATATGACGATGAGCATTACGGGTGTCTGAGTGATTTAATTTTCTTATAATGAGCTAAAAATCAACGGGCCTACTGATGAAACTAAAGTTTGAATTCGAGAAATCAGATAAAAAGGGGGAATAGAATGTAAACAATTATGACATTCTAAGTGATAGCTCAGTGAACATTAAGGTACAGTATAAAGTAGACACGCTCATGCAGCTAAACATTAATTTTGATCCGACACATACTCCGGAGACAATTGCTTCCGGATTTTTGTTCGTCCATGATTAAAGGGGAAGTCCGTCTTGCGAGGTTCCCTCCCATTCGTTCTGTACCCCAAAATATTAGAAATTTCCATTTATTCCCTGAAGATAAATTTTAATCATACGTGTACCTTAAATTTGAGTTTATTATCATTACAACCCCAGTATCAAAAAAAATTCCGTCATCAACAACTAGGAAAATGATAACCCATAGCTCAGAGCAAATGGGAGGGAACTTCGCAAGATAATATCAGGACGGAGGTCTTTATTGTAATTAAGAAAAAAAGAGTGCCAAATTGCATGCTGGAGTTCTCCCTTTATGAGAAATGAAAGCTCGAATATATTGTATGTGTGCCCAAACCGCCCCGAAAAAAATAACATTTTTGTGAGTGGTTGATATTATCTATAGTAGATGTAGAATCACTGCATCATGTTACCACTGGTTTAGCGTGAAAATTAATAATCCGCTACTACGTTGATTTACCCCTTCGACAGAACGTATTAAGGTGTAAGGTCCTACGCTCAATTACCTATACTATTATGCACAAACAGAAAGATGCCCACTTAAAGATTCAACAACAAGACGAAAGGATTTTTTTACATAAATGTATTTGATGAAACTTTTACTATTCACATAAAATAATCGAAGTTAAGAATTTCAGACGTCGTCTCGTTTGGATTGTTTTAACGCATTACTTTTGAGAGGGAGAGCGAAAGAGAGAGAGAGAGAGAGAGAGAGAGAGAGAGATAAAGAGCGAGAGAGAGAGAGAGAGAGAGGGGGAGGGGGGGGGGAACGTTGGTTTAACTTTATTTATAAAAAAAAAAGGTAATAACAAACACCTTACAAACTTCAAAACTTAATGATTACACCACAGAGAGACATGAAATATCTAGTTCTCAGAATTCTAAAAGTGCAAATACATTTTTACACCATCAACAATGGGGGAAGCAGTCCCACTCCTATGATAGGCGAAACAAATGCAGAATATACATGATATATGTGAATCAGATTGGAGAAGTGGGGTCATTAATTTTGTTCGACTTTCACAACCATTAGGTGAGGTGATGTATCATGGACATAGGATCTTAGTCATGCTACGTCGCCCAATATGAGATGCTTCATCGGGTTCCGCCGGCCAGCGTGGGATGGGCCCAGATGGTGAAGCGCGTAAGAAAACGGGAAACTGGAAATAGAAACTGTCAATTTCTTCATGGATCTGTGTTTTTTGGTAGATCGCTTAACAGCATTCTTCATGTTTCCCCTGTGCTATATTATGAGCCTCTTAAATGTACACTTTTACTTTTGTTTTACCAATGCACGCTTTGGGTGAATTTATTTATATATTTTATATTTTTTAATTTTTTTAAAAATTTATCATTATTATTATTATTATTATTTATTATTATTATTATTATTTTATTACTTATTTATTTATTTATTTTATTTTATTATTATTATTATTATTATTATTATTATTATTATTATTATTATTATTTATTTATTTATTTTTTTTTTTTTTTTTTTGGGGGGGCCTTAAAATTATTATTATTATATTTTGTTTTATAATTATTTAATTACCCCCCCCCCCAACAACAAAACAACTAAAAATGGTAAATAGGAGTAAAGGAGGAAAATGTCCCGATAAGATGGCACAAACCCTTCCTAGCTCATTTCCTGTTCGTTTACCTCACTTTCTCGCATTTCATTCACTCATCTAAACTCCCCGCCCCCACAATATTATTGACTAGACCACGGCCTCGCTGAAAAACAGCTTTTCCTGAATGCGGGCACAATTATTGTATTTGTTTTTAACCGTGAATAAATAAAATATACCATACCATACCATACCATACCAACGATATGCCATTGGGCAGATATAACTTATGAGTAGATTCATGCAATATCATACACAATATCTATTTCAGAAGATTTATATAATATTGCAATAAAGAAAGCGTATGCAATCATTCATTTTCATCTATAGTTCATATCATACACCTGCGTAGCCACTTTGATAAAAAATACTTCCAACAAATTACATGTTAATATTTGAATATGTGATTATTATAGCTATCTTATGCAATACTATTTTTAAATCATGAATTGAATTCTGTTTTGTTATACCTCATAATGTGTAAAGATAAACACACTGTTTACGCTTAATGCTACCCAAACTCTGTCATCTTATTGATAAGAGTCTGACAAGAAAAATTCTGTCTTAAAATGGATATTTTATTCATTAGAAAGCATAGACATTAACAATATTATATAATACACCTTTAATAAGCCACGTATTAAACATGTCATTATTGCTGAGTTATTACGAGGAGCGGCATTCCCTCTTCCCAGCATTCCTTGCGATAGGACAAAACTCTTTTGATGAATCAACTTCATGAACTGGACTGACTGCTTTACTCGATGTATCGCATCCTTGTGCAAACCACAAACTTCTTTAAATCGTCACAGATCATTAGCAATGGTAACGATGATCATATTTATTGGTTTGTAATTGGAAAGGATTGTTGGCTAATCAGACGCAATACATCAAAATCGACGAGACGTACGATGGGTCTGCGTTTGTCGTTGGTGGACGTATGGTCACGTGTGAAGGGGAATAAACTAGGATACTGTTGCTGTTATTGTTTGTGTTATTTGGGACAGCAGTGTAGCTCTGTGGATATAATCATGGTAATTGTGATTGAGTGCTGTGTCGGTTTTTAGTTTATTATGGCGTTATCAAAGTCAACTATTAACGTCTAATAGTGTTTATACAAATATTTTAAAAAGGTTAAAAAGGGGAATTTTATATTGATGGTGTCAACATAACGGTTTGGGATTCCTGTAAAGTTCCTCTTCTAATTGTTATGATAGATGTAGGCCTATTATTACTATACGGTTATTTAAACTGTGCTCATGGTGTTGCAAATATATATATATATATATTATCATTCTTTATTTAATGTTAACATTTCCCTTTAGTAGTCAATTTAAAAATCACTTTTTTCTTGTGTTAACATTCCATGATTTAATTTTCACATTCTGGAAAAAATAATAAGCAGAAAGTAAAAAAAGAAAGGAGAGAGGGGAAACAACGTAAAAAGAATTCACACCCTTTCTTCATTCCAGGGCGTTTTTTTAGGCATTTCATGCACCGAGTCCGCCCCCATTAGTGTCCCTTTATAAAGGGACACTAGCCCCCATGATTCCAGTGCGCCCTCAGTGGTTAAACTCACGATGCACCACTGTCTGCTAACTTTGTTTTCGGTCATGAAGATCTAATCGAATCAAAATAGAGCACGACAAATAGATTCCAGTTTACAAATATTTGTGTCTACCCAAATTTCGAAGCGCGACTTCATTTTACTTTTCGTCCACGGTATTTAATACTTAGTTCATTGCCAGAGCGTCTGCTGCACACGTGAATGAACATGGTGATCACGGTGATGGTCACAGATCAATCTTTATAATTCCCTGGTATCAATGATTGACACGATTAGATGGTGAGTGAAGAATTTTGGGAGAAAATAGCGAAGAAACAAGTATTGCAGCGTTCTATTGCGGAAAAGGAATGACACTCATTAAAAAATGTAAATAGTCGAACGACCAATCAACGTTACAAGATCAGGGGGATGTTTCACAAGTTCCTAAGTCGAACTTAACTCTAAGTTGGACTTAAAATTTATAGAGAGCCATTTGTAGCCTTAAAATTAAATATTTCCAAAAGCAGAAATTGAAGTATTTTACAATTTTCATAAATTCCACATCAAGAACATGAAATCTCCTTGATAATAGAAAATATGAATGATTTGAATCAACATTTCATGCCTTGTGAAATAACTTTTACAAATATTTTCAATGATGCTAATGGCTTTCCATAATTGTTAAGTCCAACTTAGATATAAGTTCAACTAAGGAACTTTGAGAAACACCTCCCTGGGGCTATAGATGGTCGTATGATGTTTACCTAGAACACGTAGTCGATGAAACGCCTTCCTCGTCTGTCTGTCTGTCTTTCTTTCTTTC